TATATTCATTAAAAATATGTCTATTCAAGTGTATAATTTGGTGAGGATGGCACAGAACAGGGGTTTAAATCTGTTGTTCATAGGATAGCAAATTGCTTTGTTATTTATTTTTGGTTACAACAAATAATTCTCTTTATATTTTTCAAATAAAGACCAAAAACTTGTAGGTTTAGGGTTTTCTTGACTATAATTCACATCAAAACTTATATATATATACACATATAACAAAAAAACAAAAAAAACTTATGTACTTATGTATAAGATATAGAAGAGAACAGTAAGCTAGGAGGACTCATTGTGATAGGAAACATGTTATCCCATTTTATTGTTGTTGCAGACTGAGGGTAAAGTATTTTTTATAATTATTAATAATGAGAGAGACAGCCAGGAATGAGATCCAGCAGAGAGCATGAAAAACAGGGGGCCAGAAGTTCAGACTAAAGACCCCTATTCCAGCTTCCCTGTTTCTTTATTCAAAATTATCAGGAAGTAAATCACAAAGAGAATTCAATGCAAATGAAGCCACGATCTTTCTATTGAAAACCTTCCTCCTTTCTCAGGAAGGAGGGGTCAGCAAATACAATGCAAGAATCCCAGTAAACCAGTAGGGATTGCCTTGGTGCCTCAGGATGAATTCTAACTTGAACTGTGTCTCCCTCACATCTTGAGATAGCATTCAGTTTATTACAAGTATTTAGTCATGGCTTCCCATATATTGTTACAATTTTTCTGTTATTTGTTTGATTATACATTACAGGATAGAAAATATATGTTCTTTGTTCCATTACATACTCAATGTTTTCCCAATTTTGTTCCCATATTTTAACAATTTATCTTTTATCTTTGACATATAAAGGATCTTACATCTCTTATAAGCCAAAACAACAACAAACTAGAAAACAGAAAATGGTGTCATACTTTTCATCTATGATTATTGCACAAATAAAGCTTTGATCGGGAAAATGAGACTTGCATAGCTATCCTATGAACAACAAATCTGAATCTCACTCCTTCCAGTGCCATCCTTACCATCTCTGATATACTTGAAAACATATATTTTTATTTCTGCTTCTATGAGCTTAATATATTGTCAATAGCACCTACCAACAACAAAAACAAAGGATTATCTGAATAGTAAACCAATTAAATTCTTCATATAGTAAGTTTTCTAATGTTTGAAAAACAACAATATTCACCTCAAACTATAATAAAGTCATGGAATTTTGAGTGCCCCTTTTGTTACAAAGTAGTAACTAAATTGGAGAAAAAGAAATAGTAGGATTTAAAAACCAAAATCAACATAAAACTCTAAGTCAATGCTCAAAGTAGAAAACTAGGACAGTTTTCTGGAATTTAGTTCAAGAAGGAAAGTTACCATCTTTACTATTATAAATAAGAAAGTAGAAAGAGATTAGGTATTGTCTTGAATTTTATAATTATCATAATATTGTAAAGAAAGAGAAAACATATTCTGATATGGTATTTAAATACCAGAGAATGACACATTCTAAGGGATTTTATTTTACTGTTTCTGCATGTATTAAAGATTAAAATGGCAACTAGTGAATTAAATAGATCAGATATTTATATTCTATATTGCATTTATGAATCACATAGAGATTGTAAGTAAAATTAACATTATTTATGTATTTCAATGTGTGAAGCTAAGTTGATTAATATGATATTAATGTTAGGTGTCATCAAGTGAAATCTGACTCATAGCAAACCTTTGTACAACAGAATAAAAACTGCTTTGTCCTCTGCTATGCTCACAATCACTACTATGCCTGAACCCACCACTGAAGCCACTGTGAAGATCCATTTCAGTAAATGTTTTCCTCTTTTTCACTGACCATCTATTTCCTAGCAATAAGGTCAAACAATATGAAAGAAGTCTCTCCATTCTATCGTTGTTGCTGCTATTAAGTACTGTCTGAATGGACTCGTAGCTGATCCTCCAGGGGATTTTCTTTGGCAGTAAATTACACAGGAGGAGATTTCTCTCACAGAGTAGTTGATGGATTAGAACCTTGTGCTGTTGGATTCAGTGCAATTTCTTACCACTAAGGCACCAGAGCTCTGCTACTATTCTTTCAGTAGTAGATATGACTTAATGGAAAGAAGAAAGACAGACACTTATGAGTAATTCATACACTGTTTTCATGTGTAGAGAATGAAATCTATTTTATTGAATGCAGGGTAGAAAAAGAAGCACCAATTTCCTGTTCTTACAGAAATGAAAGTTATTATAAACCTCAAAGTCTCACTCAATCTACAGAGTTACAAAAGAAGGTGTCTAAAAATGTTACTTCAATTTTTTTAGAAAAAGGGGGGAAAGAAGGTATCTAATTGAGTAAATGTGCTGTTAAAATCTACCGAAGCACGAAGTGTTATCTTTAATGTGTTAACACAACTACACATATACATGACTATCAAGTGCTTAATTAAAATATTGTCTAGACATGGAATTAAGTTAGCAAAACGTTTCTAAGGTTCTTGTTGAATTATTTGTATTCTTTTTTTTTTTTTTATTCTTTCATAAAGTAGAAACCAATTTGACCATCCTAACCACATATTTTAGATTTTGTCTTACTTTATAGGGAAAAGCATTGACTTTCATTTCATTTCATTTCATTCAATGACAAAAAAATAGTTGTATCTCACTGTTGCTTTAAATTTTGTCAAGAAGGAAACATATATTTGTCATTGTGCTTACTAATAATATTATTTCCTTTTTGAAAAATGGAATTTTAAAAAATCTGTCCTTTTATTGTTTTTACTAGGAATTTAGAAATTTAAAGATTTTATATTTTACCATAAAAATAATAATTACAGGGTGGCCTAGCGGCAAGAAACTGTACTATAATCTCAGTTCAAATCGTGCAGTTCAAATCCACCAGATCTTCTGCTGGAGTAGGAGGGGCAATCTCCTCCTGTACCAATCAGATCTGATATGACGGTACCCACACAAAAATGATAAAGAAGTTAAAAATAATAATATATTTGAATTACTGCATAAATAATGTCAATGTGATATATGTTTATAATTTTCCTTATTCAATATACTCCACGCTAGAAAAAAATAGGAACTTAACAATCTCATAAAAATTATAAAATAGAACGATGATAGTAAAGTATATGAATATACAGAAAATGTAACTTGAAATAATCATTCTTCTCAAACTTATTCATAAGTATGCATCTGTATATGAATGGAATAACATTTTTAATATTTAAAGTTAAACATTTTCTATTAGCCATAGGTAAAATTGCATCTATTTTATCAAATCACAAATAATTTCATATTCTTCCTTATTCAATCCTTCTATGATTGTGTCAAAATCATTTAAGATTGTTCAATATAATTGTTATATAACATGGTTATTTGCAATGATGATGAAGGGATCCTAATTTTTTCCCTTCACTCAGTAGGTGTTTTACGTTGCTGAGTATTAAAAAATTTCTTTCTTTGCATTTCCAGCTTGTCTTACAGTTTTCTAATCCCACTTCTTGTCTGCACTGGTAACACTGAATTTTTAGGTGACAAGCACGTGGTCTTTTGCAAAATAAAGGAAAGTATGAACATTGTGGCAGCCTTGGAGTTCTTTGGATCCAGGAATGACAAGAGCAGCAAGAAGATTACCACCGCTAACTGTGGACAAAACTAATAACTTTGATTCTGCACTTCATGTTTATATTAACCACAAGAACATCTTTTTTAGCTCAGGAAATTACTGTTGTATTTTCAATATACTTTCAATATCCTTTAATTTTAGAGTACTCATGATCCACATTTTTCTATCCCCTTCCAAGTCTAGCTACCCTACAAAACTAAGTCTACAATTAAAAAATTAAAAAATAGACAACAAAACATGGGTTGTTCCTAGTAATCTTGGAAATAGAGAAATAATATGACTAATTTCACTACAATAAGTGGATTTCTTCTCATGATTTCTTCTAGCAATCCTGAGATGGAAATCCTACATGCTTCTTTGTTTTTGGTCTTATATTTAGTGGCTTTCACTGGTAATATTCTCATTATCACTGTAACTTCCATGGACAACAGTCTATATTCACCTATGTATTTCTTCCTGAAACACCTCTCCTTTTTGGATCTATGCTACATTACTGTGACTGTACCAAGGTCTATTTGCACCTCTTTCATGCACAGTAGTAATATTTCCTTCTGGGAATGTGTATTACAGTGTTTTGCATTCACTGTCTGTGGTTGTGCTGAAATGGCTATGCTCACAGTAATGTCCTATGACCGCTATGTGGCCATTTGCATTCCACTGCATTATGAAATCATTGTGGATGTCAGCACTTGTGTTCATGGAATCTTAGCTGTCTGGATGGGTGGGGTCATCTCCGGAGTCATGCACACAGCTGCTACCTTCTCTATCCACTTCTGCGGTCCCAATATCATTCACCAGTTTTTCTGTGATGTCCCTGAACTCCTAAAGCTCTCTTGTTCCAACGACTATCTCGGTGAGCTTGGGGTCATTGTCTTCTTGTCTTTGGTGGCATTTCTTTGCTTCCTCTTTATTGGTCTTTCTTACATACGTATATTTTCTACTGTACTAAGGATCCCTTCCATTAAGGGTAGATCCAAAGCCTTTTCAACATGCCTCCCCCATCTAGGTGTTGTTATATTATTTGTATCTAGCAGTTTTTTTGAGTTTCTAAAGCCACCTTCTGACTCTCCAACTGCACTAGACTTTTTGCTCACTCTGTTTTACACAGTTATGCCTCCAACACTCAATCCAATGATCTATAGCTTGAGAAACAAAGCCATGATGGCAGCTCTAAGAAAGGTTTTTAAAGGAAGAAAAGTCACCATGTTTTGTTGAGACATATCTATTTATTAATTCCTGGCTAAGAGATAAGTTCAAAATATAGTGGGAAAATATTATATATACAAAACAAGAAATGAATATTAAATAAAAAATCATTGTAGTGAAAATTTTCATTTGAATAAAATATCACTAGGCATACAAATATTGAACAGTAAAGTCACATGTAAATTGTTGTTGTTGTTGTTGATTGCCATCTAGTTGAGCATGACTCATAGCGGCCCCATGAGTTCCTAAGAGTTTCCGGGGGCATGTTGTTTAGGAAATGGATGCCACTCCTGCTTCCAAAGCTGTCATAGAATATTTTTGGTTGAGTCACCTGCGATGTATAGCGACCCCCATGTACAGCAGCTCTGAACCCTTCCCTGTCCTGAGCCAGTCTCACTAATTCTGACATACCAACCCCCACTGCCCCAGTCACTGTATCAATCTATCTCATCCAGTGTCCTCTCCTGCACTGTTCGTCCACCCTTCTGAGCATGGACGGATCTCTCCAGGCCACGTGCTTAAAGTAAGTGAGGTGGAGCTTCAAAATCCTAGCCTCTAAGGAGAGACTTGGTTTCACCTTCTCCAAGACAGACCGATTTGTTTTCTTGGCAGTCCATGATGTGTTAAAGACTCTTCTCCAGCACAAATTACTCTGGCAAAATCAAATCCCACTCCGTAAAATGAGGTGTAGTAAAAGAATGTAAATTTCCCTTAAAGAATCCAGTGAATTTCTCACCCCAGCATCTCATTTCATATCAAGATGATGAAAAACTTCAGTTAATGAAAATATTTTCTCACTTTTGTTAAAGTTATGCTAGACTATGGAGTATTCATACGGAGTACTCATGGTATCCATATATTAGTGAGAGCCACTTGTCTCCCAATGTCATCATTCCATTTAGTGATCCATTAAGGATCTTTGAACTTCTCAGAACTTCAATCAGTAATATACAAGAGGTACTCCAGAAATGTCTCAATATACTATTTATATGGCCTCTTCAGATGCAATATATTACATTGCCACTCATGCAAGATGGGATGTTTAAACACTATAACAATTTAATAGCCTCTAAAATATGTTCCTAAATGTGTTTTATAATTTATATACGAATGAATAAAATAAAAAATAGAAAAATTTCTTACATAATGATCGAACTATATGAAGTGATAAAATAATAAAAAGTATGTTGAGTCACAAAAGATAAAGTAAGGGTTGACAACTTGTCTAATAACAGTTCCATAAGAATATCTTGAACTCTCTCTCACTGTTATGCTTTCAACACTCAATCTAATGATCTAGTGGAGCCCATTGCTACAGCCACTGTATCGATCCATTGTTTTGAATACCTTCCTCTCTTTCATGGACCCTCTTTTCCCAAATGTTGGCTCTTCTTAACAACATGACCAAAGTGTGAGAGATAAAGTTACACCTTCCTTTTGTAAATGGGCCACAGGAAATATTTAGAAAATTGATTACTAAAGAGCATTTAAGAACCTATAAATTAATAAAGGTAAATCTTCATGTTTCAGAATTATAATTAGTGAATTTATTTCATTCACTCTCATTGCTGTAGAATAGAAACCAACTTAAAATTGCTTTCTGAGGCTGTAATTCTCATGGAAAGAGATTTACAATCTTCCTAGGATTGCTGGTGAATTCAAACAACCATTGAGGTGTGGCTGTTAGGTCGGTCAGAAGCACAACTCTCTACTGACTATGCCACCACAGTTTCTTGGTTAGTAAATATAAAATGAATTCACAAGCATTTATATAATATTAAGATTGTGTAACAAAAGAAAAATATAAGTTGTTAATTGTGATTGTTGTTAGGTGCTGTCAAGTTGACTACAACTCCTAGTGACCCTATGTACAGTGTATCTGAACTTGGTTCTCTCCTGTGCCATCCTCATCAATCTTGATACACTGGAGCCCATTTCCATAGTTACTATCAGTATGTCTTGTTGACGGTCTTCCTCTCTTTCTCTGACTCTCTTCCTTTCTAAGCATGGTGTATTTTCCCAGGGATTGGACCCTCTGAACAACATGTCCAAAGTATGTGAGAAAGATTTACCCTCCTTGCCTACAAGGAGCACTCTGGTTATTCTTTCTGCAAGATACTTTTTTCTCTTGGAAATTCAATACTCTTCTTCAACAATACAATTTAAAGGCCTCTATTCTTCTTCTGTCATATTTATTCATTGTCCAACTTTCAGATGCATAGCAAGTAACTGAAAAGACCATGACTTGAATCAGGTGACCTTAGTCTTTAAACTGACACCGTTGCCCTTTAGAACCTTAGAGTGGTCCTTGACACCATATTTTCCCAGTGTAACATGTCTTTTGATCTCTTAACTTCTGATACCATGCAAGATGAAATTGTTGATCACTTAAATCTTTTCTTCATCTATCATGATGTTACCTATTGGCCCAGTGGTGAGACATTTTGTTTTCCTGATGTTGAAATGAAATACCTATTGAAAGCTGTAGTCTTTGATCTTCTGCTACGAACATGTCAGGTTTTCCTTTATTTCAGCAAACAAGGTTGGGTCATCTGCATAAAGCAGGTTTTTGATGAATCTTCCTCTGAACCTGATAAAATATTTTACTTCATAAAGTCCAGCTTCTCAAATGATTTGCTCAGTCACAGGAAAACTTAATTCTTTTGCTTTTTAATTTAGTTCTAAACCTACTGGAAAATAATTTTGTCTGTGGCGTGAGATACAGGTCATCAATCATTTTGTTCATCAAATCTCAAATTCAAACTCATTGCTGTGAACTTGGAACTGAGTCATAGTTGACCCTAGTGCAAAGTTTCACTCACTCATTCATTCACTTGTTAATTCATTGCTGTTGAATAAGAACAGACTCATAGCTACCCTTCCAATGAATTTTCAGAGGCTGTAAATTTCTTGGCAAGAGATAATCCATCTTTATTCCACTAAGCTCTAGTGGATTCAAACTGCCAGAAAAGTGTCATCTTTGGATTAATAGTATAACTTCCTATGGACTGTGTCACCAGAGCTCCATATCTTATTTTACTTGTGTTGTGTTGTTGTTGTGTACTATAGAGTTGGAACTGACCCATAGCTAACACTCTGGTGGTTTTTTAAAGGCAGTTAAATGCACAGGAGGAAATTGACCATCTTTCTCCCATGGAGCATCTGGTGGCCTCGAACTTTGTGCCTTTGGGATTGCAGCCCAGCTTATTGCCACTAGGCCACCAGAGTTCCTATTTTGTAAGATCAGTAACTTATTAATCATAAATAATGTTTGCAAAAAACAAAAAATCATTATACACATGAATCTCATCTGATAGAATACATAAGAATCAAATCTGCTACATTTATGGAAAAAGTACAGAAGCTCAAAATCATCAATCAGAGCAAAGCTAAGGCTAACTGTGAAAGAGACCAGCAATTCCTCACATACAAACTCAAGTTTAGTCCAAAGAAAATTAAAACAGGTCCACGAGAGCCAAAATATGACTTCGAGGATATTCCAGCGTAATTAAAGACAATCTGAACACTAATAACCTCAAGGACATCATTAAAATAAAGAGCAAAAGATACATAAAAAGACAGAAAAGAAAGTAAAAACCAAAACTGATGTCACAAGAGACTCTGAAATTGACTGTAGAATGTAGGAAAATGTAATATGAAAAGGTGAAGTAAGGACTGAACAGAGGTGTTCAAAGGGCAGTACAAGAAGACAAAACAAGTATTATAATAAAATAGATAAAGACAGAAATTGTTGTGAGAATGGGTCTGTCCCTTGAGAAGAACATTACAGCTAAAAACCAGAAAGTCAATGTAAAAGAAGACCTTCAAGGTTTAGAGCTCCTATTTTATTTATGTGGCTATTTAATTTTATTAGCATTATTAGCTGATAAATATCCTTTCCCTTTTTAATTGTATTTATATTTCTATTATAAATTGTTGTTGTTATGTTTCCTTGAATTAGAATTAACTCAAATCTGACCCTCCAGTGATTTTCAGATTTGTGAATTGTTGTTGTTGTTGCTATGTGCCGTCGAGTCGCTTGCAACTCATAGCGAACCTATGTACGACAGCCCTAAACTCTGCTCTGTCCTGTGCCAACTGTACTGTCTCCGACACACCCTCCCGATTACCACAGTCACTGAATCAATCCACCTTATAAAGGGCCTTCCCCTCCTGCACTGTCCCTCCACCCTACCAAGGATGATGACCCTCTCCAAGGACCTGTCCCTCCTTACAACATGTCCAAATTATGTTAGATGGAGCCTCAGAATCCTTGCCTCCAAGGAGCCACCCGGTTTAACCCTCTCCAGTATGTATCTGTTTTCTTAGCAGTCTGTGGTACCATAAATACTCTTCTCCAGCACCACAACTCAAAGTCATAAATTCTCCTTCTATCCTCGCTAGTCATTGTCCAGCTCTCTGATGCATAACAACTGATTGCAAAAACCATGGCCTGTATCAAACACCTTAGTCTCCAGAGAGACACCATTGCTCTTCAGTACTTTGGAGAGGTCCCTAACAGCAGACTTTCGCATCCAATATGTCTTTTAATTTCCTAGCTACTGGTGCCAGTTGACTGTGGTGCCAAGCAAACTAAAGCTGTGTACAATCTCAATCTCTTCACCATCCATCCTGATGCTGCCAATTGGTCCAGTGGTGAGAATCTTTGTCTTCTTGACATTGAGCCTCAATCCATATTGGAGGCTGCAGTCTTTGACCCTCTGCAGCAAGTGCTTCAGGTGCTCCTCAGCTTCAGCAAGCAGGGTTGTGTCATCTGCATAACGCAGATTGTTCATGAATCTTCCACCAATTCTGACACCACACTTCTCCTCATAGAGCCTAGCCTCCCAGATAATCCGCTCTGCATTGAAAGGTATGGAGAAAGGATACATCCCTGCCGTACGCCCTTCCCAATTTTGAATAGCCTTTCCTAATAATATTCCCAAAGTATGTGAGATGATACTTTGTCATCTTTGCCTCTAAAAAGTATTGTGGATGTACTTTCTCCA